TTCTCTTATCATGAACATTGAACGTCCAAATAGAAATCAACCAACCTCATTGATTGCGAAGTAAAAAGATGTTGTAGCTATCGCCTTTACAAATCGCTGTTTCTGTCTAGAGAATAGAACAGTTTAGTGAGATTGAGACATGAACCAGTGCGTTTGTAGCGGTTAATGTGATAACCTGCATTGATGCTTCTATACTTTATCTAACCTGAGACGGATGTCTGTCGTTCGCCAAATTATAATTTCTAAGAATCTGAATTCTAGTCTTTAACTGATAGTTGTATGTGAAGTTGCTCAAACTATGTTTTAAGTTGAGAAGATACTCAAGTTCACAGATTGGTCGGTCGACAGTTGCATCTATCCAACAAAATGTTACTTTGTTTTGGATGAGATTCATGGTTACATTTCCGAAGAACTAAGAAACTGAATTTGCAGGACATGTCTTTGTCATCGAAATGATGGTTACATCGACTAACGAGTGGGTTAGTTTAATGCAACTGGCATAATCGTAGATTGAATTCTCAAGTAAGAAGTTACTTCAACCTGGACCACTTTCGTTCTAGAAACTGCATCATCCTTTGAGATTTACTATAGGATGATATGTAGATCTTTACGAAGAATATTTTAGTCTTAATTGGGTTGAGCTTATCTGAAACAATTACTGCCACTTGAGATGAGGTGTTCAGAACATGCAATAAAATACATGTGAAAAAACTTCAACTCCATTGTACTGTAAAATTTAGAAGGTCTTTAATAGAGTTCTAGAGTAAAAAATGGTTGAATAGAATTCTGTCTTAAAGTTGTGTTGAAAGTTATCAATTGAAAGAATTGCATACATGATAGAATATAATACAGTATGTGATGAATTTAATTTTATTAGATTTTGAGTTGAGATGATTTATGCATGATATATTTCAATAGAAATTTGTTATATCACATGACACAAATTTACTAAATAAGTTGATTCTCAACTAGTACTCTTAACTAGTACCTTTAATGTTAACTTAAAGGTACTAAATGTGTCATGAATTGTTTAATTAATGTAATCAAATGTTTGCATACTAAACATATGGGTTACTTACGTAAAAATCATATATAGTTATTTATAAATTATTTTATTTACATGTTATATACAATTCTTTTAATTCCAATGATAAATGTGAATACAATAAAAAAATATATTATATATATCAAAGTATATATTCTGTATCAGAATTTATAAAATAATTTATTAAAAAAAAATAATAAATTAGTGAAGAAATACTTGTATAAAAAATTTCCAAATTTATTCAAAATAATTAAAATTAATTTAAATATTCATAATATATATTATTCAATAATTAATTTTTCATATAATATATTTTATGTGATGTAAACGATAAATCATCAAACCATATTATGATTTTATATTTAGAAACATCACTTCGTTTTTAGCTCTGCAATAAGGTCTAAGACCATATTTCTGATAGATTTGTCCTCGCCTTGATACTTCAAAATTTCAACATAACAATATCCAATCCCGCCATTGAACTTAGGTCTCTTTGATTTAAAGTCTCGTATCTATGACAAGAGAATATAGAATGACACATGTTATCATTATAATATTACGTATGACCAAAAAAATCACATTGATAGAAGGACTTGTGTATATAAGTTAGACTCATGCATTCTGATCAAATTGATTTTAATTCGATGTACATCGAGATGGTATTACATTTGCCACTGCAACCTCATTTCCGCTTGTTTTAATGCATAAGGTGGTCAATTTAGCTGATGTGACATTTTCTAAAATACATTTCATTTCGGAAATCGTTATTGAAACGCTGAAATCCAAATTATCGCCAGTCAACTAGTTATTATGAAAAAGAACTAGTGCTGTGGCATAGTATGGACTCTACCACTTGATTGAGTTTTAAGAAGTGGTGGAGTTCACTTGATTCTTAAATTTACTACCGTGCAACTATTGCGATGTTGTTTACTAGAATAAGCATGATGAAATCATATTTTTTTTTCTGTGTTGGGAGAAGACACATTTTTAAATGGTTTGATCGATTTTTAGATTGGAATGAGTGTTACAATGAAGTAGCAATTCTTCAGTCACCAACTCTTTTTTCTTAAGATGACAGTTTGTCTACCCAACTGGGTGATCTTCCGTTCTGTGGTGTGACTAAATCATGTCAATTTAGATGATGAAGATGGTTGACTGATTTATAGGGGAATGCACACAGAACCACATTTTCAAGACTTTGCTTTGATTCAACTCAAACCATGAGTTTGGTAGGTTCAAGAACACCTGACTAGGGCAAATTGAAATCATGCTGAGAACTGGAACCTGAGAACCGTAATGAATATCACATTTTGCAAGAAGTAAAGCTTCGTTGAATATTTTGAGTATATTTCGCAATTTTACGAATAACAACCAGAGTTTGGTACCTCTAAAACTTGTACAGATTTTACTCTTATATTTTGGGCCGTTTGTCGATCTTAGATCACATGACAGTGCCGACATTCATAACGTGAAGACTGGTTTGAATGTGAAAAGAAAAAAAATGTAGTATGAAGAGGTTGAATTATTTACTCAAAAGTTGACAGTCCGGTGGTTAGCAACCTTTACAACCCCAAGCTAAGGCTCATGTTGTACTCGAATACTGTCAGTGAAAGGACTTCCATCTCTTATATGGGTAATGTCACACGCATTACCAGATCATTCTGTAATCGTATGTTAAGACAAAACACTCGTGGTCGGTTGAATGCTGGCAATAATCTCCGTCTCCAAACATGTTGTGCTAGATATTCCAAGCGTTTTGACGATCGGCAGAGACAGAGGCTTGTAGAAATCTGTTTCGTCATCTCTCTGGTCGGTTCTCGTCATCCAGTGCACATGCCTTGACAACATTTTGACCTTGACAATTGGCACGTACGGGATGCCACTTCCACAAGCTGGTCAGAATCCGGACCAGAGTAACTCCACCTGCAAAAATTCTGCTCGTCAATTATCGGCCGGAGTTGGGCGGAGGATGCGATCGAGACGTGAATTTGGATGCGATGATCACTTGATGCACATTAGATCTAGATCTCGATCACGCTCAGTCACGGAGCCATGAGTTGTTCCTTATAGGCCGCCAAGCTTATAGACGCAGCCCGATCATTTGCTTCAGTCAATGTACAATAACGTGGAAGTGCCTGGATTCAGGTCGTGGAGAGTACAACATGTCTGTTGGTCTGGTTGTTGTGATGTTCCAGCTCCCATGCTGATTGTTCAGTGTTACTGATTGCTCTTATGCATCCCAACCTTGGCCTACCCTTGGCGATCCAGTAGCATGGTTTCGAAGCCGTCGATGTTTCCAATCCACGGGCTCTAGGAAGGCTCCGCCACTTGTTCGCTCATGCAATGGATTGGATACTTTGTTATCACACGCTGTCATTCTTTTCGCTTCGTTGTGCTCAAAGCAGGAGCTTATCTTCTGACTCGTAACTAGTTCCGATTCTGATCAAACATTCGATGCAGATGACTGACCTTCAAAGTCTCTGTGTCTGATGAAGAGACGGAATGATACCATACAGTTTGGGTACTGCTGGAAGCCAGTATCGCTCTCTCAATCTCAGGCTTACTAGCAGAGGAAACTCGATGGTACAATACGTTGCTACTAGAGGTCTAAACACACATCACGTTGATCAGTCATAGGAACGACAGATGTACTCATCAGATAGACAGACACGGAGTAGCCCCAAAAGAAGAAAAGTATGATCGAGTCCGAGGAACAACAAAGTGTACTCATCAGGTAGACAGACACGGAGGAGCACCAAAAAGAAAAAAGTATGATCGAGAAGGCTAACAGAGAAAGTCGGCCGTTTCGTATCTAAAAGGATAAGAAACGGTTGAGATGCGCTCTGATGCGCAGGAGAGAAGACAGAGGGGCACTCGCTGGGCAGGGCTGAGGACTTGGACCCAGAATGAATGAGTGCTCTCGAGAGAATCACACGTAGAGCTGGAGAGTTTCGAGATGGGTCGAGATGAGAGGTAAAGTTTGGAGTTCCTCCGATCCTCGGCCCCCTTCTCTGAGGCTATGGCAACCCTGGTACGGACTCTCGATTCTTCACAAGATGATCACGAGCAGGGAGGAGTGACAGTGATGATTCCGTGCACATGATGCGCTCTCCATCCAACAAGAGATCGCCCGCGGTGTCACGCTGTCTCCCGTACATGTAACATGCAAGGCCATAATGCACAGGCGCCACTTTATTCAACGTCGACTCTTTTCTTCCGAGTCAGTACTGGAACTGACCGCATGCCACTTCAAAGCTGAGCCTGCCGACATTTGCTGCCAGCGGCCTGTCGATCCAAACGACCGTGGCTTGCCGTGTGACGTACCTGGAAGGCCAGAATGTCAGCTGCCATTGCAGAGCAGCAATTATGGCAGCCAGGGGATAAGCACGGTGAGCGTGACCAGGGTGTGAAGATGTTCGCTTGTCCGCTCCTCGCCCGGAAATGAATGGGCTCATGAATGGGGCTGGGCATGAGTGGTCCGGTGCGAGTCACGGCCAGAAGGAAAATCTATCAGAGGCCAATGAGCTGCTGTACGCTCTCCTCTGATTGGCGATGCCCTCTCGGATTCGAATCCGCACTCGTTTCTGTCGACGAGGACCGGACTCGCATGAGATTCGGATGATGCATGGTCACCCTCCCCGTCGTCGCTGATGCAGATGGAAATACTGGAGCACGGCAACAGGAACAGGGTTTTGGGATAAGTCCTGCGCCCTCGCGTGACTCCATGTCAACGGAATAGACGCGTTGCGTAGCAGCGAGCCAGCGAGCGGATGTGCGACAGTAGCAACGAAATGACTGCACCTCCTGCTGCTAACCGCATGCATCTTCGCAAAATGATTTTCGATGATGACGTTATGATGAGAGAGAGGAGCGGAGCACAGGGAGGAATTGTAAAAGCCTCAGAATGTACAGTCATCCAGTGCGAACAGCGAAGAGAGACCGAGGGCACGCACAGCTGAAAAAGGGGCTTGCATTGAAGCTGGAATTTTTACTTTAGATCGAGAGAAAATGGCTGAGAGGAGAAACGCTCGCAATCATCCAGATTACAATGGGCAGAGGCTATGCTCCACATGGAATTGCAGAAATCTCTGTCTTTACTTGAGAGAGTGAACGGCTTATGGGAGTAACACTCACAACCATCCAGGGTCTAACTAGAATGGTATAGGCAGAGTCCTCGACTGAATTTCCGAAACCTCTGTGCTAATCTTGAGATAGAGGACGGCTGAGACGAGTGGATCTCACAACCATCCAGACTACGGTTGTGTCTAGGCAGTCCTCATCTGAATTGCAGACCTCTCTCCTGACTCGAGAGAGAACGGCTGTAAAGAGGAAACACTCGCAACCATCCACACTGGTACTCGCACAGGCAGTCCTCGAACGGAACGGAATGGCAGTATCACAAGCGAATACTGATCGAAACCCCAACATTTGATGCTGACGCAACTTTATTTTCTGGCAGCGCCAAAGCTCATCTCATGGATGCATTCTCCTCATCTCGCGGTAACTTTCAGACGAAATAGACAAAGTGCCTTGTACAAAACCGTAGACGTCACTTACATCAGTATAAGGTCTCACTAGATTACATGGTCAAAAACAGTACTACCTAAAAAAGAGTAAAACTCTCGAGAGTCCGGGCAGATCTCCGTCATCTGCTGCTTATCGTGGGCTGTAAGAAAAGGATCCTCCCTCTCCCCCTCTCTCTAGTCAGAAGAGATTACCATTTGTATTTTACATAACTTGTGGGGATTGATTCCTCTGAGAATATAATCTGTACTGATCCGATGTGGCTCGAGTGGATAATCAAACCCTGCTTATAAATCCCTTCCGGTTCGGCTTCCAAACGTCAAGCAAATTATCAAGCTGATCGCGCGCACGGCCATGCGGCCCCGGCGGGGGAGCGGCCGCCGCGGGGGCCAGGGCCGGCACCAATGTGGGGGGCGAAGCGCAGGGCTCGAACGCACCGAGGCCCAGGCGGCAGCGCCACTACATCACGATCTCGGGCTTCAGAATGCTGGTCTTGATCTCCTTGTGCGGCAGGACGACGCCGCCGTTGCTGTAGATCTCGTCCGACACGTGAACGTCCTCGCCCAGCACCGTCATGTTCTCGACGCGAGCCCATTGCCCGATGGTGCTGTGCCAGCCGATGATGCTGCCCGACACGCAGGCGTGCTTCTTGATGCGCACGCCGCGCATGACCGTGCAGCGCGACAGCCGCACGCCGCTCTCGATGATGCAGCCCTGCCCGATGGCCACGTCCGGCCCGATCAGGCAGCCCTCGCCGATCTGCGCAGTCTCGTCCACCACCACATTGCCCACCACATGCGGCCCCGTCGCCAGCATCTCGGGGCACCGCCTCCGCTGCGAGTCCAGATACAGCCGCAGTCCTGCAAGCCCAAGCACACGCCCATCTCAGTCTCAGTCTCTGCCCCTCTCCTCTCCTCTGGCAAGCCCCGCCTCTTCTTCTTCCTCACGACCGAATTGCCACTCGCATTGACCGAGCATTGCCACATTCGATCAGAGCTGCAGGGACAGGGGCTGAGAAGGGGCTTGACTCAGTCTCTGCCCCTCTGGCAAGCCCCGCCAGCTCTACAGGGCTTCCCCAGATCTTCTTCTTTCTTCCTCGCGACGAAATTGCCACTGGCATCGCGTACGGGGCGAGGGGGCTGACCGAGCATGGCCACATTCAGAGGGGCAGGGGCAGGGGCTGAGAAGGGGGCTCGACTCAGTCTTTGCCCCTCTGGCAAGCCCCGGATCACCGAGGCTTACCCCAGAGCTTCTTCTTCTTCGCGACCAAATTGCCACTCGGCATCACGTGGCCCCCACGGCGCGAGGGGGACTGACGCCAGCATTGCCATTCAATCAATCGGAGGGGCTAGGGGCACAGGGGGAGGGGGCCTACCTGTGATGTAGTCTCGGGGTTGGCCGATGTCCATCCAGAAGCCCGGCAGCACCATGGCGAAGAGCTTCTTCTCGGCGGCGATCTTGGGGAAGACTTCCTTCTCGATCGAAGTGGGTCGCAACTCTATTCTACTCAGAGTGCTGGGATTCAACAGGTAGATGCCGGCATTGATCTTGTTCCCAACGAACATCTGTGGCTTCTCGACGAATCGCTGAACTTCTCCGGTCTCTTCGTCCATGACCACCACCCCGTACTTGGAGGGCTCGTCCACCTGCACGCGGCGGGCCTCGGTCCGTCAGTCTGTCAATCAGTCAGTCAAGGGCGCGCATGCTTCTCAGACATCTGCGACAATCATCCGCGGCTCGCGACAATTTACCTTCGTCACCATGATTGAGGCTTCACCGCCATGGGCTTTGTGGAATTCAATCATCTGGGTCAGAGGGTACTCGCTGATCACGTCGCTGTTCAGGACGAAGAATGGGTCACCAGATCCATCATCCAGCATCTCTCGGGCCAAGGCGAGCGGACCGGCTGTCCCCATTGGCTCTCTCTCCTGAGAACACACGATCTTGATCCCCAATCTCGCCTCGAAATCCTTGAGGAAACTCAGCATTACCTGCATTGCCATTTATCGGTACCGATTAGCCAACTCCCCCGACTAACAATCCACAAACAATTCTCTGGGCAAAGTCTTACGTGCCCGGACCACTTCCGTTCAAAAGCAAACCAGTCTGGAAAAATCCTAGTGGAGAGTATCTTGACAGCTCCCCAGTCTTATGGTCCACGAGCGAGACGGCCGAAGTCGCACCCATCGCCGCAGAAGTTGCAGTAAAATGTGCTGACCCATAACACGCCAAGAAGTCGAAGCTCATAAGATTGCTCCGAATTGTAGATCTAGAGGTTTGAGCAGGCCTGACTCATTCTCTACCCCTGCTCATCCAGGACACGAGCTTCCGTGCTGCGTAGAATGAGATATAACATACCGAACAAGAGACCACGTGCTAAATCGGGTGGAGCTCTGATCCGTCCTTGGGCCCAGCCATTTCCAGATCTGCCCAGCCGGACGGACAGCCTTTGCCTCCAATCCTTCTGCCATGCTTGCTATACCCCATCTCCCTCGACCCTAACACTCCACTCGGTACTCGGTTCAAGACTAGTATCTTAGTGACTGAAGTGTACCTCAGGCTGGTAGTTGATAGCCAAGACAACTTCGGTGACTCCAGCTGCCTTCAGTGCTTCGATCTGCGCAAATAACGAATGTTGGTCAGGAATCATGGCGCATGGTTTCTCATTAAGGACTTTGCTGTCTTCCCCGTGTCCGACCGAAGATGTCACGATATCTAGTAGCGAGCGAGAGCAGTGTCTTCAATTACTGTCTACATGAATGCATTTCCGTTCCTAAGAGAGCTAGTTTCTGAGATGATGTGCTTGTAATTGGCAATAATGAAGGACGTAAGACAAATCCTTCCGCGGGCTGGGAAGATGGAAAAGTGGGTTTCTTAGCCATGACCGACAATTATCTGCAGTGAGAAGAATTCAAGCCGAGATGCTCGATCAATTTTCATCTGCACCGGGCGCGAAATTGGATGCGCGAACGAGAAAGAATTAGAAACGAACCTGATGAAGAATCATGGGCTTGTTGGCAAAATCCACCAGAGGCTTGGGCACACTCAGAGTTAGTGGCCTTAGCCTGGTTCCGAAACCACCGACCAATATGAGAGCCTTCATGATGCCTGCCCGCTCGACGTGTAGATCTCAAACTTGACGGAAGACGAGGCCTGCAACGTGGAACAGTCACAACAAGCATCAGCTGATATGCACAGCGGCGACCGATTGACAAGTCAGAAGAACACCAAATTCACGCAAGCCGTCACTGTCAAAGTCGCACGAGACGGCGTGGCTCCGTGCACGTCCTACTCAATCCTAACCATGTCTGTCAGCACATCTCAACTAACGACAAGTACGGATTGGGTTCGGTTGGGTGAGAGTCGTGACAGCAACAGCGAGCATCACACTGAGACCGACCTGAGCGAGCAAGCCTCGCTACCCTGCCGGCGAAACCTCACAGAGAGAGAGGAGAGAGAGAATATGAGAGCGAGAGAATGAGTGAGGGAGAGAGAGAGAGAGATGGAGAAAGAACACTGCAATGAAATGCGAGAAGAATGGCAAATGTATTGCTGCTCGCTGGCTTTCTTAATTGAGGAGAGGAGGAGGAGAGAAGAGAAGAGAGAAGAGCGAGAGGAGGAACGAATGCGGGAGTGAATGAGGACAGCGACTGACCGAGTGGAGTGAGACTAGCAGCGCGAAAGGCTAAAGGAAGGACGGGCAAGGAGGGACGGACAGGCGGACAGGCAGACAGACAAGACAGAGTTGCGGAGCAAGAAAGAACTGGGCCCGCTTGCTCCCCGCCCCCTGCTAATGCCACTCTGCTCTTCTTCTACCTTCTGCAGAACTCGTCCCTCTGGCCCTTTCAATCGGATCCCTCCTCCTCCTCCTCCTCTTCTTCTTCTTCTTCTTCCTCCTCCTCTTCCTCCTCTCCCTCCTCTCTCCCTCTATCCTCGCCCGAGCCTTGCCTGGTCTTCGCCTCTCCTGCTGCCTTTCCTCGCCTTTCCTTTCCTCCTCCTCCTCCTCCTCCTCCTCCTCTCGCCGATGCTCCCTCTGCGTGCCCGTTCCTCCTCTCCACCTGGCTGGGCCTCTGCCTGCTGATGCCTACGGTGTCGCTTTCGCAGCAGATCCCGCCTGGCGCACCGCTGCTCTCGCTCTGCTGCTGCTGCTGCTGCTGCTGGGAGCTCGGCGCTGGCTCTCTCGCTCTCTCTCGATCTGTGCCTGGAGGCTCTGTCGCGCCCACGCTTTCAAAGAGCTCAGAGCAAAGCCCCGGACGGACTCGGCTTTGCTGCTGAGGGGGGGGGGGGGGGGGGGGGGGAGCGGCTGCTGCTGGTGGCTGCGGAGGTGCTTGCTGGCTTGCCCTGGAGAGCAGAGTACAAGAGGCCAGTCCTTATGCGCGGTACACAGTGGGGGTGGAAGGGGGGTGGGGGGGCTAGCTCGGCCCCCACAGTGATCACCGGCCACTTGAGCTCGAGCCCCCGGCGGGCAGCGAGCGAGCCCCATGGCTCGACTGCGAACGATCTAGCGAGCATCGAATCTCGTCATGAATGACGGCATGTCCGAGTAAACTAGAGCTTTTTACCTCCCCGGGCTCGGAGCTCGGGCGTGCAGCGGACGGGCGGATATTCAAGCGAATCTGGCCACTGGCCAGGTCAAATCCACGGTCCGATTATTCCTCGCCCCAGCCCCAGCCCCAGCCCCCCGCGCTCTCGGGCGCATGAGCGAGCGAGACTCTTCGATTATTCTTGTTCTTGTTCTCTTCTCCCCCGCCACCCCCCTCGGGCGCATGAGCGAGCGAGACTCTTCGATTATTCTTGTTCTTGTTCTCTTCTCCCCCGCCACCCCCCGCAGTAGGCCCACTCACACCCGGGCCTCTGCAACTGCGCGTCGAGCCTGGCTGGGGTCAAGAGGCCCAGCGGCTCGGGGGCCGATTTCCTGTGGTTGTTGGCGAGCGGTCGAGCCTGGCTGGGGTCAAGAGGCCCAGCGGCTCGGGGGCCGATTTCCTGTGGTTGTTGGCGAGCGAGGGTCGGGGCTGGGGCTGGGGCTGGGCTTCTTTCCACCCTGCCTCTTGTTGTCCATTGTTCGCTGACAGCTTTCCTGGCCTCGAGGCTACAAGAGCAGCTTGGCGCCCGGCTCGACCCTCCCTCGTCCAGACGAGCCGTGGGGGCGGCGTTCTTACAGCCGGAGAACGACGGGTGACTGCGGTTGGCTCTGCGCTCGCAGATTCCGCGGTGCCGTTCTGTGGCGCCCGCGACCGAGCCGCAGGCACGCACCGTGGTACGTGAACCTCACGGTGCTCGTCGCCCGTTTTGTCGAGGTCTCCGCGACTCTTTCAGGGCTTCGGACGCCCACTTTCCGTTGACCCCCCGAGTACTTCCCGTCTGGCCTCTGCCTGGCCTAGAATGCTCCTCCCGCTTGCCCCTCTCTCCGCCCAAGCCCCCGGCGTGCCAGACATAGTAAGGCAGGCGGGGAGGCAGGGGAGCAGGGGCAGGGGCAGCAAAATGTCTTCGGGGCTGGGGATGGGGATGGCGTTTCTAGTGCGTGGCCGGGCTTTTCCTTTCTTTTCCCGGCTGGACGGGCAGCACAGGGGGCAGCGGTGGACCCTCGGGCCGGACGCAGTGAGTGGGTGCTGACTTCTGGCGAAGATCCGTCCGCTTCGACTGATTCTCGTCGTTCTCGGCGACAGCTATCGTGTGCTGCTGGCCTGTAGCAAACACGGTACGGGGTCGGACCGCGAGGCCTCGTCGGCCGGGAAGTGGCAACCGTGGGTGGGATTAGCGGGGGCTCGGATCATGAAGCGACATTCGCTCGCAGCGAGTGAGGAGGGCGGGCGAGCCACTGCTGCCGGGGCTTCGGGTCGCCATGATTCGGCCACCGGCGACCGGCACGGAGCGCGACCGCATCAGTTGACCGTGGTAGCCAAGCGAAGCGCGGGTGCACGGGAGACTTGAGACCGCTGGCAAGGTGCTTCCACGAAGCACCTTGCTGGTGGGTGTGTCATGCCCGGACGCCGAAGCCCCGAGTCGAAAGAATCACGCTGATGCACAACGAGAGTCTTCCAGGCCCCTCGGAAGCAGAATATGCAATACACCAACTGGTGCTTGCAGCAGCAGGCACACAGCGGCATCGGCCAAAAGGTGCTTACCTTTAGTCAACCACACACAGTTTTAGTCCTCTACCACACATGCACACTTGAAGCAGGGCTTATGCCCAACGGGGGCACGCTTAGCATGTAGAACTCGAGTGGAGTGGAGTACACCGTTGGCCCGTGAGCACCACCTCCGGCGAAAAGTTGCACCCCCGTAGCTCCTAGGGGGCTTACAAAACCTGTAGGCCCACGCCAGCCAACAGAGAGAAAGGTCACAGCGAGGGGTTGGGGGTTGGGGGTGGGGGGAGAGACACTGCGATCATCCGCTTTCCCGGCTGGGGTCACATCACAGAGAAAGCTGGACTCCAGGCCCTCCCTGATTGGCCCCTGGCCCCTCCCCTAATTGTCTCGCTTATGTCCCACAGGCGACAGAGATTAGGCTAATTTGATGAGTCAGTCTCGCTTATCGGGACTACTATTTTTGCCCCCCGGTGCATTGCGGGGCAAACCATCCATCCCCATCCATCCACATCCATCCGCTCGGCTGGATGGTGGGCGAGTACGCAATTACCCCCTTTTGCTTTACTTTGCGTTCGGGTGGTTAGAACACGGTCGGACTTTCATGCAAAGAGGAAAGGAAAATGTGCCGAGCCCCAACGGAAGACCGATTCAAGATAGGCCCAGCCGATGATCGGTTCCGTAAGCGCAAGGTGGTTGTGGTTGCCTGGTCGCCTCGGGGGCCGATTCTCGCCGCAAAGGCGATGCCATGCAAGAACGGGACCGAGCCCGCGCTTGTGAGGAGTCCGGGATCGCACCGGGCTTGCGCATCGCAGACAGAGCCACATACCGTAGAGTTACCGCGACGCCGGAGAGGGGAGGGGGGAGTCCCAAAGCGTGGCGCGGAAGGGGGAGGGGCTGTCCAAATTTGGGAGGCGCAAGCACTCTTTAAGAAAACGAACGCACGTCGGCGGGTGGAAGCAAGCCCGAAGGCGGGCACTGGAAAGCCGACGCGCCACTCCTCGAATTGGAAAAACACGTCCGAAGGTATCTTGGCACTCGGAACACGACCCAAGCGACTGCCTGCCAAAGGGCTTGGCTCGAATGTGGTTGGGGCAGGCTGCGGTGGAAGATAAGCCATCACTTAATTCTCTGCCAAATCCGAGGTCCGGACCAGGTCCGCTCAGGCTCGGCCGTCTTTGGCGGGAGCGCGGTCCCGGGCCTATCCAGTTGCTCGGCGCTAGGGACTCGTCGGAAGAAGAAGAAGAAGGCTGGCTGCAGTAACTGCAGGGGCTCCGGAGGATGCGACGAGGCTGGCAGTCGAAGGCAGTACGTGGTAGACGGAGCCCCCCCACGAGGGGAATAGGAAGGCGGCGATGATTCAGTGAGGAAATCGAGCCCCTCGCCCTGCCCCTGCCCCTCGCCCAGCCCCTACCCCACCCCCCGAGCGAGGGACCCACGTCACATGACGAGAGATGCCAGCCCCGGCCTGATACGGCGATCGGAGAAGCTCGGGGCTTGCAGCTGAACCGAGCAGAGCATGGCCCACAGGCACGACCACCTTCTGACAGGCCAACTCAGAGGTCGGCCCTGAATCCGAGCCATGCTGAAGCTCGGCCAATCTGAACCCCGGCAGATCTCTGGCCCTTTGTCCCCCGGAATGATTTTCTTCTCCGGACTCTCGTCCGGTCGCCATAATCTACGATTTTCCAACCTAACCTCAGACTGAGCTCAGACTAGACTTTTTCTCCATCATGCAATTCCTCGAGCGGCAGCACATTTCGTGAGGGTGCCTGTCCCAGACCTGAGGTAAGTTCAGGCGCATGCGAGGCACAAGGAATTGGCGAGCAGGTCTTCATGATCGCAGCGCACATCGATCAGGGAAGTGTGCGAGGGACACATCAGAGGCGACAAGAAAGAAGCCCAGACGATGTGGAATGCAGCACAACGTACATGGAAATCGTGTTCACCACTGTTGGGGGCGGTATGCATAATCAGGAATAAGCCTCTCGTAATTCGTGGCACGATGATGGTGGGAGGAAGTCGGCTGGACGTACACTGGTGGTCGGAATGGAGGCCCGATGAGTGACGATGTGGGAGGTTTGTCGAGGCTAGAGGGATCCGGTTGTGAACAATGGAAAAAGAGAAAATAGATCCCACGCTCTCACGAACTCGCTTTCCGTCTCGCCCCCACACAACATCACCTTGCCTTGCATCCCATAGCATTTTCTTGAGGGCCCATCACGCACAACAGTCGTGCCATGGTTGCGCAGCATGCAGTGACTCGTTCGGCATCGCATTCTTTGAGGGACCCCACCGCCAAAAGTTATGAACGAGCACTAAAGACGATGTCCCTCGTATCATATGCTTTCTCTTGCCACTCTTTCCGGCTAAAATTGATGATTACTTCGTACTTCGCTGTCTACTTTCGCCGAATGATGCTAGCACTACATCAGTCCGTGTCATTTGCATCGCCTGGCTAGTGCTTTGCATGTATTGATTTGCGCGCATTGATATTCTTCTGCTGCCCTTGGGTTTTCTGCCTCTGGCTACTAGACTCCTCACCACACTAGACTTCTCGCTTGCCAGGTATCCTGGCCCCACCGACCACTATCATCTCCTATCTTTTCGCCACCTCCTTTCTCCGACTTTCATTTCTGTTCATAGGCAATCCCGCACCATCTCGGCATCCTGCCCTGCCCTGGCCTGCCTGTGAAACTCATCTTCCTCATCATTCACGCAATCATTGACGAGAGGATTCTTGTCAAACGAGTGCAATGATTTCCGATGAGGTAGAAATCCGTGTGCGAGTTTAGAGATTGCACATCTTTCACAAGGCGTCGGCGAAATTCACGACATGACAGTACTTCCAGGAATCGAAGCAACGAATCCTGTCCCATCACCCAGTACGCTCCCCATCCACTTCTCGATTATATTGCGCGTGGATTCGACAGTGCTCAGAAAGCACGATGCACTTCATGTATGTAGTTCACAAATAGGCTTATGAATTAAAACAGAACGAAATCAAGACTTCCCTTACCATTCAGGCGTTGTATAGGCGAAAAAGAGATAACAAGCAGAAATAAGTCTCGACTGATTCTCGACAGAGAAGCTCTGCTCTTTCGTCACGGAATACGGACGTTCCTGCAACGAGTGGCATGACGGCAAGGATGCAACTAGTACACTTACACATGCATGTGCAAACCTTCCGAGAATGAACTCATTCTGGAATATCTCGAGCAGAACCAGGAAGACCATGAAAAGGCTGTCACAGTGGCCATCAGTCTAGAAACAAAGCGACGATTGGTGATCGCGCCAAGGGGAGACTTGGGTTCAGGTTCTGTATCTCCATGCACATCGTTAACGCCAAAAAGACTAGGCTTGCGAGAAGCGGGCTTGATTCTGATCTTGGCTGCCGATCTAGACCTGTGGCCGAATCAGGAGTTGTTTACAAACTGAGATAGTACATTGGCTCTTAAGGCGCACCGAGAATCGCCACTTTTTCAGTTCTGCATACAATGCCAATATCATTATAAGAACGAGAGCTTTGCTCTGATTTGTCCAAGTTTTTTCAGACCTGTCCTTGATACACCAACGAGACTGTAAACATTTGACCAGGTCGTTTGACTCCTCTCACTCCTGCTGTAGTCCATAGCGGAGAAAGTAGTCTCTAAACTCCTCCCATATGACGACACCGTCTTGGTTGGCATCGAGCTTATTGCACATTTCATCAACCAATTCCTGCGTACAGCACACAAAAAGCTTGAAATTTCGTCGACACGAAGTAACATCTGCATTAATCCTTAAGCACAGTACACGTCTACGACAAAAGTTGTCATGAGTAGTGCATGCGAATCATTCGTGTGATTATTCCCACTATCCGAGGTCAGGGAAAAAGAAACCACATTGCAAACATCTACATAGCGGATTCATAAGATACAACATGCTTACGTTGTCAATTTGAAAATATAACCCAACAGGTTTGTACTTGGTTCGCAGACACAATCCTATAGCTAGACACTCCTAGTTCTCAGTCTGTGACTAGCTCACTGTAAGTTAGTGTTTCGGTAATGGAAACCATGTCAAATGTCAGAAATGTCGAGTTTCTTCATATGAACATAAAAGCCGAAACATACAATTCAATGAGAATAGAAAGTAGGATCCCATCTGTGCTTGTCTTTCCGATTCGAAATTTACGATATTAAAGTCTTCAAACGCTCGATCCATAGAGAGCTTTCCTGACACCGCATGACCGTACTTGCGAAGCCTACTCAGTCTGACCAGAAGAAACTCGACTTACCATACCACCAACATCTAGTTCAAGCAGTGGTATGCTATATGCTATATCTTCTCAACTTTCAATAGCATCTGCTCATGCTCCTTCAATGGTGAACTTGAAGAGCAATCAACCCGACTCTTGGGATTCCTACATAGCTTACCGGGATGACATTCCGATGACCAGACTTGATTTCATTGAGGTCTTCCATCATAAGTAACAATAATTTACGATTCAATTTGGTATCACTGTCTCTGTTGTACCTGTCCCATATCCTTTAGCACGGAAAATAAGACGAAGGTGGTTACCACGGCGTATTTAATGATACGTGAATGTCACTATTGCAGTTTCGATGTAAGAGGTAAAACCCGTAAACAGTTTACTCAAGGTGAATCCAAGCCTGAGTTAGGTAGCTCATTATATATAAGTTACTATGGAATCTGCCTGTGCGCAGTCCTAAGAATTTCTGTTAAAAAGCCTTCAAGTTCGACAGGCATACCTTTCAATAATGCACGAGAAGACATTTGTGACGTACCTACGTAGATCACCTTCCTTCAACTTTACACTGACCAAATGAATCATAAAAGCTTTCCCGGGTGGAGCCCAAGGTGCCGATAGATAATCCGCTGACTGCATGTGGTAGAGTCGGGATACTGTCCTCGCAAAAGCAAACTCTTCGTCCTTCTCCTCATGAATAGAAACTGCATACGTACAAGGGGACGACTCTGATTTCTCCACCAAACCTAGGGGGCCGATTTGCTCCTCTTCTTGTCTGTTAACACCAAAAGGACACTTTGAAGAGCAGTTCATAATCGAGCCATTTCACACATCTTGCTCAGAAATTACTACACAACACTCAGAATCGTACTGAAGCTATTGCGATTGACAGTCTAATGCGCCTTCCTCACATACCTAGGTCGGTACAAAGCTCCCGGGTCGGCGTCAGCACTTACTATCAGCTTTACCCTCTGAAGTAAGTGAATTTTGTTGTGATAGGGTATCAAAACAGCAGACGATACCACACACGCACCAAGATTAATCGTAAGAAAACAAAACTTTCCAAGTCCCATTGCTACCTAAAATGGCACAACATATAAAGCGGAGGATTGCATGCAAAAGTTTGGTCTTCAATGTTCCTGTGGAACTTTATGATGTAAGTGCTAGTCTTTTTTAAAGAGGTGTAGCTTTTTGATTCCAAGTTGTTCGCAATAGAAAGGATCAGTGTTGATCCCTACTGACTGCAGCTCGGATACTTAGTTCGCTGACTAGCTTAGCACTCAAAGTATCCTTCTTAGCGTCCAAGCGCAGAATTTACCTGTTCATACAGAACATCCACCAAAATAATAAACCGTCTGGCCTGTCCACGATACAACACATCGGTGAACTTTTAACAGTAGTCAGGCGTGAGATAGCCTTCTGAAATCGGCAGAATTGTTTGGTCTAAAACCGACAAATTTGCTCTGGGAAAAATCGGAGAAATCGGATACACAATTTTCAGAGATGAGAAATCACCGCACATTACAGCGGCATCAAAACAACTTCTAAAACGAACTACTGCTTCCTCAATCCGCCAAAAAAAAGTTGTCTTACCAGGTCACCATGAGCCCGGGTCATCTTCGGAATGTCAGAAACAAATAGAGTATGAAAAGATGCTGCGATGGCTACATAGTCTGCGGCTCCTTTTGGAGTGCCACAAATCTCTGAGAAAGTAAAAAATGCGATTCCACTTGCTGCCCTTGGCACTGTTCAATGGATCATAGGCAAATTAGTATGTTTGCTGGTGCTGTTACCAGCACAAACTTGAAATGCTGACTGAGCTAATACAGTTGAGGTCATTTCAAACAAACTGCATATAAAAAGAATCTTCTATGAAGCCTCTGCAACTCCTTACGTAAGAGAAAGCTACAAACTTGCTAGATTGAGAATTGGGCCGAGAAGTACTCATTTGAGAACGTTGAAAGATGGAGATCTAACCAAAAATCGTACGGGAGCCTTCCGTAATGACAGTTGGTCCCATCGGTCTATCTCCTGCAAGCTCGGCAAAAGACAGCTCAAGTTTCTGTGCCGTGTCCTTGTTTAGAGGTATATGCCACACAGTCGACAGTGCTCTGCAAGAGTTGGGGCTCCTCAGATTACTGTGAGGCTGTAGATTTCACAGTCCCTATGGTTATACTTGGTATACAATCCAGGATCGTATACCAAGTGCAACCATAGGGACAGCAACTCGAACCGATATTATGCTACTCCTCATCTTGAATCAGTGCTTGTTGAGTTCACCCTTTCGTATCTTTCAATCACCACGTTTCCGATGAAAAGCTTAGCATTAAAAGACTAGACAGATTATCGTCTTGTTTTTAGCAATCATGCAGTTAGTTCATGTTTGTCCATTCCAATGCTGCTGATATTACAGTTATTGATTGGTGGTCTGAACGCGCAGCTTCTCTACTTCTTTTGAGCGTCCTCAACCGAGATTTCGGTCTAGCCAAGGGCAGACCATATTCATCCAAGACGCAGCTTGAACATTTATTGTTAAATTATCTGCACTTTTTGATTATGATGGATCCAGACAAGGCACAAAGTCAATCAGTGACATCCTCGATTTGAAAGTTTGTGAATAGAAAGATAAAAGTTGGATGAACCGAATAAGGCATCTCCGAAGAGAGACCTTTCGGAAGTTGAGATTGAGAAAAATGGAAATCTCGTCATTCTTCCAGTGCAGAGGAGTTGATCCTAGAGAATAAAAACTAGGGCAAGAGAAAAAATACACTGACCCGTCAGGGCGAGCACCAATCAGGCGATAATCTGGAGCACTTGGCCGGAACATGTGAACATGACAATTTTCTTTTATCATCTCAATGCATGGAAGAAAAGGATCCCTTTGCAAACCGTTCTTATAGAGCTGCAATGAACCGAAAGAGAGTCACAGGTGTTTTATTGCAATTAATCTATGTACGATCGTATCAAAGCTATATGGAGAATGTCTATCTAGTTAAGAAGCATGCTGACAAGCATTATTGGTATGCGGTAAAAGAAAGTACTACTCACGTCTTCGTATGATGCTGTTGTATCCGTAGATATAATAGGCAAATAAATGAGATAGAAACCCCATGCAAGAGGATGATGTCAAATACTTCAATCTTACAACAGAGATCATACTCGCTAAAAAGCTTTAGACCAAGTCAGGCAGAAGACGGCTAGATGGCTAGAAGAATTCATCAAGGCATATTAGAACGAAAGAAATTCAAGATGTGTCAATTGGAAGCAAGTAGATCCTCAAAACAGCAACACAGAATCTGGAACCTGCCTCATTTGGGGAGCAATTTGACGAAGCAACCATGACTGCCCCGGCTTGAAAACAACTCTTTAGCAACCTTCTTAGTATCATCGCGTCAGCTATATCTATAACCTTAAAAGGACATGCCAGTTTTAATGTTAGTACTCAAGAAGGCTCTCTACACTTTATGGGCTTATAAGTGACGATTTTTTCAATGCCTAAAGTTAACAAAAGCAAGGTCTCTTGGCTCCAGGATTCTCACGGTAACATATGAACACCTAGAGAGTCAAATTTCTCAACTGGAAAACTCACTTCATTCCAATCCCTTACGTCTCATAGCAGATTAAAAAGACTTCATATAATAAAATAATGGATCAATTTTGTTCAATACTAGTAGTTACAAAGATACCTTCAGCGTGTCAAAGTAAGCGAGAAGAGACACGACTGGTGGTACCACATACATGATAAAAGTATTGTTCTGACTCTTTTGATTCAGCCTTGAAATCACTCTGGAAGCACTCACTTGGAACTCGTCAAAACAAAGCAACCATCCTCCTTTGAGCACATCCTCAGCAACATCTTTGATAATATCTCTGTTATCCCCAGAATCTCCCCTCAACCTTTTCTGGTGCAACCTGGAGCCCTCAAATACCCGTTCGCATCATCAATCCAACCAGGCCGGCAGGAAGAGATATCAGGTGAAGTGGGTGCAGGAATTTATCAAGAAAGTGTGGGCTTGAACATTGAAAGGTCGTATGAAATTCTTTTGTTATTGGGCAGGATCTCCTCCACGCAGCTCTTCATAATGAAGACTACGAGCGAGATTTCCATCACCGACAGAAATACTGATTGACCGTTGTGCTTCTATACTAATATAGAATAGAGAGATGTTGCCAGTATACTGGTCTAATGATAAGGAGGATAGTGAGGACCGTCTTTATAGATACAACAAACTGGATCTGTAAGATATGATATGGATAAGACCTGTAAACCTCAGGCCCTTCATTAGCAGTGGCTGACCTGAAAAGGCTCGAAATACAATTCCACTTATGCGCTGCGTGCCAGCAGAGTTTACTAGCGCCGCTTATATATGCGTAACCACCATTAAGACAAGTCATGTAGAGTAGAGCAGAGTAAATGACCTCTTGTGCACATCCAGCATAAACTGATGGAAAGGTACACGTTGTTTGTGCTCAACTGGACTGCAGTGGTAAAATATGTCTGCCACCAGCGATTTTCCTGTACCCACCCCTCCATGAATATAAACCCTGCACCGCAATATGGAACAAAGGCAAAAGAGTATGACTACCCAAACTCAATTTTTATCGGTGGAATTTCTCAACTATATACCACTCCGTCATAACCAAGTGCTCGGAATAATTCTTGAATTTAAAAGATTTTGCTGAATGCAGGTATGACTGGATGATTCGAGACGTTCAGTTTCTCTCGTCGCTGTGAAGCAACAAACATGGAGACATCCCCTTGGACAGCCTAGGTCTTACAAAGAAGGAGTCATCTTATTCGATCAAAGAAATAAACAGAACAGAGTCCACAGACTGCACACGTTCGCATAACGCATATGTTGCAATATGTGAACTCTGTTTACAGATTTCCATTACGATGGTACGCCTGAAGCATCCAAAGAAGTTGAATTTTCCTGGTCAGAAACCAATAACACTGTAACACTCACCAGTTTGACATTCTAGTCCTTCAAAGAACAAATATCCTGTCAGACGTAATCAGATGATTAAAAAGCAAAGTATGCGATACACATATGGTATGATAGTTAGCGGTAACGTACCCTCTCGGAGCCTGCCTTCGAGGTTTTATACTGACATACGAGAGCATTTTCGAAACCAGATTGATCGAAGGGGACGAATAGTTTTCGAGGTCCATATGCAAGCGTTCTAATGCCTGCAGAGCTGCAACCTGTCCTAGATCATGTCTGATGGAACCAGCCTTCACAAGCTCATTGTAGGCATCCAGAGGCAACATGCCCTTGGGGATTCCTTCCAACAGAGCAGCGCCATGAAAGTGTCGTGGAATGGGCAACTGCAAGATTAATGTAGGCGAAAGCGATGCCGGAACGTTCAAAGTTGACTGCAGTCTCGAAAAAACTCTCAGCAGTGCAGGCTGAGAATACTTCCATCCAACCATAATGGACGGGCTGACAATTCCCTCTCAACCACTTACTCCCGCAATTTCTCAACTCCTCCCACGCACTCCCACGCCGGCGAAAGAAGTTTACGTGAGCAGCTTCTCCCTCTGCTCATTCCATGCTATAAAATTCTCCTCAACATGGCTTCAGGTCCTCGTCCAGGACGAATCATACTCACTCAACGAAAATCGTTACACCATCATCTGCGACCTGCGCGTGCTCCGAACTCAGCACAGAGCACTAAAGCTACACGCTCCCTCGGCAGTATTCAAACCCAGCAGCTGGCCAAGAACCGCTCTGAGAGGAGGAAAAAACGAGAAATCTGGAAAATTCTTCCATCTGCTCCTCCTTCGCAAAGCTGCGAGTAAACGAGCGCGCAGACCAGCACGAAAATGAAGCCTCAATCCACAGCAGTGCGTCACAATCGTCGATGGCGAGCGAGGGACGAGGAATCAAATGCACGAGTCCGTAAATCGAAGCACATTCTCGTCTGAGCGCCCTCGGAGCTGCTTCGCTTCCTCCTTCCATCCATCCATCGTCGAGCCGAGGACCGTCTACTTTGGACGGTTTTCTCTCCATCCTTCCGTCTGAAGAGCGCGTCCGTCCTTCTGACCGGACCTTGACTGCACATGGATGGTCAACCATCTTCCCGAACCATCTCTTCTTTAACCACGGTACATCTCCGCTAACTTAGCTGCGCTTGCCACTGCCAGAGTCTTGCGACTGGTTGACGTGCTAATCGTCATTGCACATCACTCGGCCGTCCAATGCTAATGCTGATGATTTGCACCTCGGCCTTGCTTTTGTGCATGATCCGCCTTTATCCTTTATTCTTTATCCTTCGAAGTAAATCATTCCTCTAGCTCGGATTCCAGTGCGTACATGATTATGCAGTTCTGTGTCGCTTTTCTTTTCTCTGCCATATTCGTTTATTTGAGAATGACGAGTCATTGCATTTTGAGGTTTATATATGTAAACATTTACATCATGATAGATTGTGAATTAGATTCAATGAGGATAGGTTATACTTTAGATCACAAATATAATTTTGATGTTTACTTCTCTCCGCCTTTTTTTCTACCAGGATATGGAGATGGAAGGTTCGTCCTCTCCATGATTAAATAAGAAGTGAGAAGTTTGTACAAACAAGTCCACAACATTATATGATATGGAAATATTTGGTTATTTCCGATTATCATACACCAAGACTCACTAAGAAGAGCATCATCTAGCCAAATGTAGAAATCATATACATCAGTTGAGGGACAGTCTAGTAGTGTAGATACTTCATTCATGTATACACACTAACCATTTCTTCTGATGGGTGAATTTTCTCTCTAATGAAAGAAACTCTTTGGATAAGTAAGTACACAGAGGAAATTAAATGAGCAAAAAGTATATGAAGATCTCAACAAGTTTATAGTAAGACAAAACTAAAAGGGTTGCATTTCTAGGATCCTATAATTGAACTAGAAAAGTGTTCCATGATATACAATCGTGACAATATCATCACATTTGTAATAGTAATATGATAAGTAGAGATATATAAATCTGACCAATCATTTGCCGATGGGAGTTTCATTTGCAAACGTCATCACATACATTACATCCCTAACGGCACGAAGTTATATAATTTGCATTCTCACAAACCGCTAGTCATATCAACACCCGTTGAATTTAAAGTGGTTACATATTATCGTGCGATTAGTAAGAATGACAAATTAAAACCGAAACAAGATGTCCTCATGTAGACAAGTAAGTGGTGCAACAAGAAACTATCGTGCTTAACGTCCAGCTCTCTCTATAGATAACATTCAACTTTTCTTGTTTGTTATAGAAAAGAATTACAGTCTGTGTGTGAACATAAAGTGCAACTCATAGAACATCATTTTGCTTTTATGACTTATAAGGGGGGAGAGAGAGAGAGAGAGAATGTTTGTATATATATTAAAAAAAAGTATCTACATCTCATAAATTTTTTGTGTGTCAAATGAGATGAGAAGTAGAATTGATCGACAAAAGAAAAAAAGGGATAAGAATGATAAAAAATCATATGTCCAACGCCAAATGTCTTGGAATGTCGATGCTTCAGTCGGTCATAGTACTACTATGACCGACTGAAGCCTACTATGATAGTAGGCTGATTAAATTTGCATATTCAGACTGCGGCGGCAGAAAGCGTGCCGCCACAACAATAGCAGGAGTTCCGGAGTGGATCCAGCGCGGAGGAGCTACAGACCCACCGCTAGAATAGGATGGCGGAGCGCCGTCGCCTGGAGCGGTGGCGGGCGACTGGAGTCGACGGAGGGAGGGACGTCAACACCGCCTCACCGTGGACGGCTCCGCTGCACGGACGTGAATTGCATTGAAACGGACGAGTACGAGCAGAGTGCACGTGACAGAGTTCATGCCGAAGCCCTGCTGCAGCTTCTTCGTCGGTCTGCATCTGAAGCTTGTGGGCTCACTTCGTGACCTCACGGAGTGTCATGACTGCAATGGCGTTTCGATTGTGCGCTTTCGTCCGATTCACTCCACCCGTGCCGCATGCTCGTCTTATCGCTATCCTGTCCTCGTGCCTCGGCACCTCTTCCGATTCACGGATGCTTGCGCTTTCCCCTTCGCTCACATTCAACTACACTGTCTGCCTCGTGTTTGCATAGTGCACACATTGTCAACCACGAACTGTGCCCAGTAGCCAGCCTCCTTTTTTTCCACGGAGATGGAGGAACAACGAGGGCAGAAAGCTTAAGGACTGATCCTAGCGACTTGAAAATTTCCTTCTGTTCTCTACCCGATCTTACCACATGACATGATCATGCAAAATAGGAGACACTCTCGGGTAGACTCTTCTGTCATTGCTCAGAACCTCATCAATTTCGGGAACTGATAATAGATTTCGATCATCCGTTGCAATATTCCGAGAAAATAGATCCGAAAGGTCGTCTGGAAAATTCCATTCCCGATAATTCTTCATCCTAGATAACATATCGAGTAACCATCGACCCACTGCATATGCACCTGGATCCTCTTCGAGTGCATGCCATGGGCTGTGTAGAAACAATTACTTGTGTTTCGATCTCAGTTACGGAAAGTTTTCACTTTCTGAGAGTCAATGAGAACTTTCACACAAACGAGATAATATTCCTCGAGAATGTGTTTCAATCCTTCAGCTCATGACGCTGATTTACCAGACCATCACGCCAGAGCTTTTTCTTCTCCTGCCGTGCTAGACACACCTAAATTAGAAATGAGAAAAAGTGCACTATAACTGCTTTAAGTCCTTGCTGAAGAATCTGGTCTCTATATGTCAGTGGCATTATTTACACACTTATTCCTTCACGTCGAACGGACGTTTTAAGTGCGGGTTGTCAAGGACACATACCAATGTCTGGCTGTGGTAATCAAGTTTGTGAAAAGAAAGTGCAAATTTTGGTTGACTCATGTCCATCACTGCTAGTACAGTATCCCCTCCTATTCACATACCATTGATTCTCACTTCACATTTCATATGGTACTCATGAGAGGAGCACCGCAATAAAAAGTACGACCAGTGTTACTTGAAATAATGAAACTTGCTGGATGTGATAGGCGAATGCTGTGAAGATTCTACTAACGCACAAGAAGAGCTCAATCTACAGGAGTGTCATGTACAGTAGGAGAAGTAGAGGTTCTAGCCTTACTACATAGCGAATTCGAAGATTTCCAAACGTTAGACTTGACTTCCGATCGATATAAGTGTCAAAGTTTACAAATGGTCTCAATTTCTGAGTTTCTTATGACTGTCACTAGTGTAGTCTAGTCTCCCAGACTTTCTTGTTCTTGAACATGAGATGAAGATTTGGCAATCTTCTTCAAAAGATCAAAAGAGGCAATGAGGTTAATCTGCGAGTATTTTTTATGCGAGACGAGAAAGGTGTGCTCCAGGTAAAAAACCTAATCTTTCTAGCATATTCCTGTACGAATCTTCTTATCACTCACTTGAATAGGCGGCTTAGTCAATCAAGATAGAAGCATGCTAGACCCCTGAGCACCATTTTCTCAATATTACTTCAATCTCATGAAAGAATTTCGTTGACATGTTATAACGGTACATTGATAGGTTACTTAGAAAAGTTGCCTCGAAGGTTCCGTGATAAAGTCGAGTTGAGGCCATCAACAGATGAATATTAAATGCCAGTAAGTTTGCTGAGTGAAAACAACGGAGAGTATTTCCTGTTCGGTCCACAATGGTGGAGTCACGAAACTGATGAAGCACAAAATGACAAAATGGTGAACTTCGAGGATTGTGCACAGAACACGCAAGATAAATTAACATGAACTGTTGGTGTAGGTGATGCCAACAAGCTATCATCACACCATACGTGTTTTCGAATTTTGTCCCTGTCAACAGTTCATGTCAATTCACGTTCAATTCATTCTGCTGCGTTTGTGTCCAAGGAGCGTGTTTCATGAGAGTAGGGCTCCACCCTCTGTTGAAGCCTTTCCACAAGTTGACCATCAAACTCTTATTTCCGGAGGGAATCTTGAAGTTTGATATCTGGAATCTGTAAACACAATAATTTCCTGGTGAATTGGAGAAAAAAAAATTCTCCAATTTTTGCAGCTCATCACGTTTTCAGATTGATGTCTATCATCGGGATCTGATTTATCTCACAACTTCCAGACTAGAAAGAAGAATCAGACTAAAGCGTATCTTCCAGTCGGCTATAAGTGGATCCCCTCGCCCACCTGAGTTGAAAATCCCGCCTATTTGCAAACTACGGCGTTTTTTCCTTCTCACAAATCTCGAAGTTTCTTATTGGATCACATAGCTCATCCCTAATAGCACAGCCTGGGGGTTGTTCCTCAAGAAGATGGTTGGTTCTACAGTATTGGGGAAATTTCCCCTCCTAATATCATCCAGGAAGCGGTTGATCAATGTAAGAGTTGGACCGGCAATTCCATGCTTAGACTCTGTGAAGCCCAAGACGTGCACCTGCACCCCGTTGCACAAGGTTGATTGTTGCCCACACCCGCAGAGGTTGTGATCACGAGGGACCTGATTACACTGCGAAGAAGAGGACATGCAGTCTGCGTGTTTTCACAACCGCTTAACGATTATGGTGACAAAATTCATCTTTCTGATGTTTTTCCTATATGAACTCGTTGAGTATTTTTTGGTACAAAGTTCAAAACACGATGATAGCAGGCCTTCGACTTACAGTTGAGAATCTCTTTAATGTACACGGAAGATATATACACTTCGCATCAACGGTCTTCCTCCCGAAAAACTAAATCTGTTGTCTTAGTATGCTCTAGATCCTTCTTCTGTGTAAAGCCCAACACTTCTCAACGAGGTGGTGAGCCAAGAAGAAAAGCTCGTTCATGACGACGACGACTGAAAGGCCCTAATCTAACTGGGACTTGAAGGGCGCAACCTGCCGCAATGTCACTTTCTTACAGGTTGATATTGCTGCCTATCGACTTGCCCGCATCACAAAGGGCACTATGAATTGACAGCTGACGTTTACTTCCACAGAATCTGAAAGAAGCTAATCTTCACTGGGATGGGCTCGAGGGAGCTTTCAAGGACTAGTTTCGGAACTACTAAGATCTCAAGGCTTGACAAAACCTCCGTTCACTCAGAACTGCCAGCCTATTCCTCCTCCTCCAGCCGTTTCGATCTATACTCAGGGGGTCTAGGGGCAGTCTCGTCGTCTTCGTCCACTTCTGCGATCACTCTCTTGTAGCGGTAAAAATGTGCACAAACCATGTAAAATAATAGATTCAGAAAACTGAGCACCGCTAGAAGCCAGAAGAAGTAATCAATATGGCCTCTGTTAAGGTTATCCGGGATCCAACCATCGCTGCCACCTTTCCTAGTGATGCTGGTGACAATCGTCACCAATAGGCTACTTAGATAGTTGCCAAGGGCCACGGTAGTGAGGGAGAAGGCACTCGAAAGCCCTCGCATGGCATCCGGGGCTTGATCATAGAAGTACTCCAGCTGACCGATGAAAGTAAACACCTCGGATGCACCGATAAGGAAATACTGAGGAACTTGCCAAAATATGCTCATGGGCACGGCCCCTTCTGTTTGATCCAGCAGACCCTTCTCCTTGGCTATCTTAAGCCTCTCAATTTCTACCACTGCCGCAGCAACCATGGAACATATGGAGATGAATAATCCGATGCCCATGCGCTGAAGCTGTGTGAAGCCCCTCACATGTTCCGAGTAGCGCCTCACAAACGGTACCAATAGGCGATCGTAGACTGGGACCCAGAAAAGAACACTCAAAGTGTCGAAGATGCTGAGAGAGGCTGCTGGAATTTTGAAGGATCCTATGTTAGCGTTCATCCGCTGCCCTTGCAGCACGAAGAGCGTGGACATCTGTGCATATACAGTAGAAAATACGATTGTTGCCGCCCATATGGGTGCCATTCGAAGCATAATTTTAACCTCCTCGACTTGGGTGACGGTCACCAGTCTCCAAGAACTCAAAAAACTTTGACCCTTGATGGTTTGCAAATCATTTATACCAGGTGTTGCTGCTTTGTCCAAGAACCTGTCAATAAACAGAGAGAACTTCAACTTCAAAGATGCACAGATATTATAATCATGGTTTCTTTGTCAGATGTGCGCAAAAGAAAAGGATTCTTTCAGCAAGCGAATACATCAGCACTGACTGTCCAACACATGCGGGCTCTGGCATGACCTAAAAACACCTCTTGCTCCCCCAACATTAACGGAGCAGGAAGGGAGGAGGAAACCTAACGAAGACTTACGTAGAGGGAAGACAAGTTTGAAAGTTGTAGCAGATAGTTTTATGAGGCCCAGCTTTGAATGCAACGCATGCAGCGGACTAGCTTGTAGAATGAGTGTAACATCGCCAGTGTCTGGCAGATATCATTGAATTCTCGAATAGAATGAACAATCGGCCAGAAATTGAACTCACGTGAATTCTTTCGTGTGTCGGATTTTTCGACTGCCCGTGATTGCAGACTCTTTGTCATGCAGTTCATGAAGATCGTGAGGATCAGCAGGAACTCTAACTTGCGCCTTCCGAAATGCTGCTACAACAACTTGAGTTATTCGAGTGAGAGGACTGCCACCGGGTTTCTGGTGCCGGTAAAGAGGAGTTCCAAGGAAAAAACTGCCAATAGCAATCCCCATTGCCACGGCAGGTACACCGAAACCCCAGCCCCAGCCAACATGTTCTTGGATGTAAACTAGAGCACTGGCAGAAATGAGGGCACCAACATTGATGGAGAAGTAGAACCAGTTGAAGAATGATGTTTTCCGAGCTCGTTCTTGATCATGGTTGTCATCAAACTGATCAGCTCCAAACGAAGAAACACAGGGTTTAATACCTCCCGTGCCCAAAGCCACGAGGTAAAGGGACAGGTAGAACACGGCAAGTTGACCAGTGGAAGCTGGGGAGCAGAGCTCATTTGCATTACACCTGGGTGGCTTCAGCGCGGGCACTGCTGCTGATAGTGTTAATAAAACCATTCCCTGCATCTCAGCATATGCTCTGTTAGTGTCTGAATCATTGATAATTATGTTGTTACATAAACTCAGTACATAAACAATTTGTCCCTACTGGAAATCGACACAAATAGTGGGGGTCTGCTTGCTGTGTTGGTTGGTGAGAACATTAAATAACATTCACCCTGACGACAGCTTGATGCTGCTTTCTCATTTGGTAGAACGCAGTGACCCACATCAACTAATGTGTTCGTCAGTTCAAACCGGTAGGTGTACATGGCAAAAGCTTCATGAATAAGTTTCAGATGGTCCAGTGCTAACCCCTCGGAGCATCCACTAACTGAAACACTTGCTAGCAAGAGCTGACATATCGCAGTCTTATGCTTATTGAACTCGATTATGGAAAAGGCAGAAGACTCACCAGAAAATAGATGAACGAGAAGACTGCGATCGTCCAATATCTTCCCCAATAGGCATCAGCAAGGAACCCACCAATGAGGGGCGTAATATAGCATGTGCCTGACCAGTTGGTGACATTTGTTGCAGCCTTTGCAGTTCCTTGGTGCAGAACTGTAGTCAAGTAAGTTACCAAGTTGGTCCCGATTCCATAATATGCAAGCCTTTCACAGCCCTCGTTTCCTGTCACAAGATACAACAGCACTCCACCAGTTAGATTATCGTCCTACAGTATTGACCGATGAAATTGCCGATATGACTATCTCAGGGTCCGCTGACTCGAGACGCATGGGGTGTATTCTCTGAGACTGCTTAAGAAATTGGACAAGTAGACAGGACCAAGAACAAAATTTCCAAACAACCTTTATCATCAAACTCAAAGGCAGAGCATGAATTGCGTTCTGTCCGAGAAAGAGAGGGAGTAATACTTACCCAAAATAAATGGACAGGCCTTCCAGCCACCAGTTTTTGCTCGGATCGATGGATTGCCATGCACGTCTACGGAACCATCCAACGTGTACTGAGTGAGTTCATGTTTTGGGATCGGGCGGTTGCGCAAACCAATTTGTTCGCTTACGGGCTCCCCATCGAATTTCCCGTCCTGCATAACATCCACAATATGACTCCGAAATGAGACTTGGACTTATCTTTCCCTTTGGGCTCAAATATGGATACCTCTTGACAACACACAACATGACTTATTCCCTTGAATTCTTCGACTGGAGATTGGGTACGATCTGAAACCGGTCCAGGAACTACGTGTTTGCTGGTTCCATACGCTAAGTACGAAGCTAATTTGCTGCAATCTTCTCAGTAAGTGATATTTGAGGGGAAATTTGACAAGAAAAGCGAATCAGATGACTGTTGTAAAGCTTCCTGCACATTTCACAATCAATAGCCCTTTTCACAAAAAGCTGACAATCAGCACTTTCGGAAAGAGAACAAAGGTGGTTCAGAAATGAGTTTGGCAGTGCACAGCTCACTCAGCACCTACTTCTGAGGAACATGATCACCAGCCACAAAAGATTTGAGTTGTCTAATCAGAAGAAAAATGCCAAACCGAGGCAACGCTCCTCGCGTGGAAAGACTTGCTAGAACAGAGCAACTGACGCGTAAATCCGCTCCTTGCGAAGACTTGTGACAGTACAGCACGGAATTTGGCCTCAAAAGAACGAAACTGCATGCGTAAAGATAGAGACCTCGGAGTCTCCAAACTAGAGCACGCCGAACACGGTCACACCCTGGATGAAAGTTGGAAATTCTCGTCTTACAATCGATAAAAAGCATCGACCGAATCGTACGGTAAAAAGAAATCAGTTCTTTCTCGGGCTTCCAATCGAAATGTCACGCGAAACCAAAAACACGGTGTGCGTTCCTGACGCTCAGATGTATGAACATGCGGTCGATAACAATCAACGATTACGCTGAAGATGAACGACACAAATACGAAAACAACGCTGCAATCCGCTTTACGTGAGAACTTTGCCGTCCGAACAAATTTTGAGTCAAACCATGGATACCAACCACAGCCGTCGGCATTCCAACCAATCACTTACTTCCCATAACCCAAAGAACGATCCCCGTTTCAAGCTCAGCCCAGAAATCTGGGCTGAAACTGGAGTACCGTGCCGAATCTCTCGTCACAGCACCCGAGCATTCCATGCTGCTCCATTCGAAGCACTATCACTCTCACCCAGAGACTCCAACGCAGTTGACAAACGGTGCAAGCGAGAAAAGAACCAGAAAAACGCTTCTAATCGTACCGTATCGGCAGCGTAATCAGCTGTTGGACGTTCACCGCCATCTTCATGGTAGCCTGCTGTTGTGGTGGTGGAGGCGAGGGCGGTAGGTGTCGACTTTTCCGCCATCGTTATTCGTCCTGAAACACACACACACACTCTCTCTCTCTCCCTCCCTCCCTCTCTCTCTCTTACTCCAGCTCTCGTTCTTGCATCAACGCCCAAATTGAAATTGCCGAAATCTACCACTGCGTGCCATGCAGCTCGCTGTAATCGCCCTCTATTCTTTTCGCGTGCCAAGTGCTGCTGCTCTCCTCCTGCAGCGAACGAACGAGAATCGATGTCACAAACTGGTCACAGCGAAGGGCGTTGAACTAAACAAATCAGCGCCTGCTGTCGAGGAGGATCTGGGGGTGGACTGGACTGGACTGGACCGGACCGGGCTGGACCGCAGTCTTATGCATCGTCCTCGACGTGTCAGCTCGAGCAGCAAAAGCGGGGCACGGTTTTAGCAAACGAGGCAGTTAGCCGAGTCCGCCCTCCATTCTCGCTCTTTTGTCTGCCTTCGCTAAAGCTCGCGCTCTGGATTAGCCAACACGTGCTGCCGAAGCCGCGATCCTCAGGACAAACTCCACAGGCCTACAAGTCTACATCATTCTCTACAGGTCGTCCACGCAGAGTCGCGTCGAAATTGTCGCTCCCACTCCAAGTGTTGAGGTAATCGCCGGCATGCAACGCACCTTTCTGTGCTGTATTTGCTCGGTGCACATTTTGAGCTCTCGAATGAGCATCCGGGACACGACCAGGTGCAGCATGCAGTCTGCGTCAGCTAGTCAAGAACTCATTTTTGCTGTAGATTGATACTGGAGGTATACCTTGTTCGGTGTTCCTTCTTCCCCTCCAAGCTTCACATAGCCCTGCTGGTGGGGAGATCACTGAAGCAGAGCTTTGGCAGCGATTCGGTGGTCGAGGACTCGAGGTTGAGGACTCGAGGTGATTGGGCTCTCGGTTAGCTTGGGGGTCCCGTCGAGAAGTCAACAGGTTGTACTCGTCATGATTCGATCCCTTACGCAAGTCTGATGGGGCTGACGATGGCTGTTTCCGTGGGCAGTTTTCAGATGTTGTGAGAAACGGGTAGAGTGTCGTAGTGCTGTGGGAGATTTGGAAGGATACTGGTGATTGCGTGCAGAATCTTCTACATTTGCTTGGCGGAGTCCCTCTGAACCTGTACATGAAATCTGAACACCTGGAGACCATGAAGGCTCGTGAGATCCCTGTCCGGTTTGCACGTGGGGAGCGACCAAAACTTTATCTTCAGGTTCAGAGAGCAGAGGATCAGATTTTCGTTGTACACGAGCTCCCAGCCATGATTAGAGAAAGGTGGAAGAAGTTTCCCATAATTAATAGGATCCGCTGACATCCTCCGAAATTATGGCCGTCAAAGTAGGGACGAAGGACTTCGGAGCAGAAACATCTCACTGGGATAGAGCCTTCAGACGGCTTTACTACGATATAAGAGGGGACTTCGGGCATTTTTGCCTACCTTTGATCTCTCAGATGGTTTAATTTCTCTTCACAAACAAAAAACCCGAGAGAGCATTCGATAAATATTACACAGACTGCTTTCAGAAGAATCAAAAGCCGACTTCGTGTAAAATCCTGGTCACAAGTTTGAAACATTGAAGCGCATTTGAACGGCCTGCATTTGTACTGATTCGATGGACTGAGAAAGTCCACATGTCTCCTTGATGCCAGTCCCCTCCTGGAACTTCAGAATCTGAACACCCCCTCCTTTCCTCATACTACAAGCTCAAGAAGGTCCAGTTAGTACAACATGTTGGACGGAAGAAAAGATTTGACCAAGTTCTGAAGGTCCAGAGGGGACTTGTACATAGATTCCTCAGGGTATGTCGCATTAGACTAAAGTTCAAATGGATGAGGAGAATTATAAAATGGTACTTTCATAATGCTCTTTGGCTCTTTGTTTTTCTTCTGGTCTCTTTAAGTTATTGAGTTTGATTTCTCGATTAGTCTGACTTGTTTTACTTGTCAACTATGTCGTGCTGCCATTTATCACGATCTTCTCAAACCGACGGGTGGCATTGTCTCATTTGAGTGAGATGTATTGACTTCTCCTATGCACACCTTCTATCTCTGGTTTGTAATATGTGAATTCAACTTCAGTTCCGCAATGTACTTTTCGCTAAGTGGGTTTGTTGCTAGTGCATTTGTACCACGCTGATGCTCTACATGAGAGTTCTTACAGTTCATCCATGAAATCTTTTTCCAAGGTGTGCTTCAAAAGGTATTGGCGTTGCCACCTAATTATAGATTGCCTAATATCAAATAGAGTCCAAGGACAGGAAATAGGATAGAGACAGCAAATCCCAACGAGAGCTTACACAAGATTACCTGACAGCTCAGAAGAATTCAACAATATCCTATGATTATCCTATATTTTCAGGTTATCCGAGCAGACACTGGCGAGGTTGAACATGTGTATTTTTGGGAACAGAAAACAAAATGCTAGAAACTGTATCCAGCAAAAACGTACACAAGTTCATCTTGATTAAAACATCTAGTCAGTCCTCGTGATGGATGATAAATATGACAGTTGAAAGCAATATTGGATGCGTGAAGGTCTGAATTCTCACTGGACCACATTTGATTATCCCCTTACATACAAAAAAATGTAATTGAAACCAGCTTAAGGTACTTTTGGAACACTTCTACTTAGAAGCTATAGACAGGGTTCATCATCCCCAAACATAAAAACAATTAATGTGTGATTATCCAAAAACATCAGAAAACCAATTTTAGCAACTAAGAAAAAAGTAATTGTGCAATGCTTGGAGCATATCACTCACTATTTCCGTCTTGAAAATGGAGGGCTTTTGTTGGATATTTGTCAGTTCTTTATCGTTTTGAAAACTTCCTTAAGATTTACGTATACTCTATCTTCCTTCTCAATACCCTTCAAAACGCTCATCGTAAGTTGTAAGTCTCTTCTTCACTGTCAGTTGTTACCTCTGAATTTGTTCCAGTATTGACTCCATGCATGCTACTATTCTTTTGTACAAGGTTTTGATGAATTCTATAAGGGGCAATTGAAATTTAAATGAAATAATTTGTAATCGTCTTGATTCAATGAAGAGACATCGGTGTGCAGAATGCTGAGACGAACTACAGAAGAATCTCCTATTCTTTAGTTATAGATTTATTCTTAGACTCGACCATTACGAACTTCTATTGATATAGAATATGTTTGACTTAACTCGACTATCCAAATTCCTCGTCTACATTGTAGATAGTGAAATTGGAAGCGTTGTCTGACGTCAGAAGCAACAAAGGAAGAAAAGCGGGGCATGAGACAAACAGGAGATATTATGAACAACGGGAAACAATATTACTTCCTCCTACCTTTTTGAAACGCAATACGGAAGTTCCTTATTCCCCAGGGTGTGGTTCATCAGGTGATGGATGCTCTGGAGCAAATAACCAGCACTTCGTTTTTCCTCAACGTTGCCATTGTGTTAGGTTCCAAATGCGGGTCATCTGGGGTAATGAAACCAAATGATTACTGAGGACATCTCATTTCATCCTGACCAGTACCCATTCTAGCGTTGGACTCAGGGATTCAGTCATAGATGCTGGGTGTTATTAGGAGAGTTGAAAGTTTTTTAGATTCGGTTAAGCTTAACCTTGCTTACGTAGTTCTTTGAGTTCAGATTCTTGACGTTCAGACTTGAAGATCTGCTGTCACCGATCACGGTACACTTTACTTCTGATCGATGGAAGACCTCAATTTGGGATGATATGGGTTTCCAGTACAAACACAGTGGTCTGAAAACTGAGTTTGTCATTGTTCTTCTTGTCGTTCTTGTTCTAAACGTGCTCTCGCTTGTCGGGAGACTAGAACCTGCTTCATGCTATCATGGCGCCGGGAATGATGTAATGAAATAATATTTGACAGTAAACGAGTTTGGGGTACGAGAAAGTAAGTCCACTGGAGCGCGTCATAATACAACTGAATCTTTAAACACAATAAAACACGAGCTTGTCCCTGGTTGACCTTCTGGTTATTCCTCCTTGTGATGATTGATGGGGTCCATGTCTACCATAGCCATTATCTCTATTTGCAATCGACCTGTACATCATATTACCATACTAAGTATTTTTAAGACTAAATTGCACCTAAGTCAAAAGCATCGTAAACTTTGGCGCCCGGTTTTACAGCTTGGGTTTTCACCAAACCTGCTTCATTGCACCACAAATTACAGTTATAAAGTTCCGCCTGTCGGACTCAGGGGTTCAAACTAATAAAGCCGTTGAAATTTCAGTTTTTCTGTATAGTAGAGAGATTCAGCAGAAGTGAATGTAGTGTTAAAAAAGAGCTTACACATCGATGAAGCAAAAATATAAAGAAGAGTATAAAATGTAAATGGGGACCAAGGAATATGTCAAAAAGTAGAGCAATACCCCATTAACCAGCACATGGATGTCGCGATAGATGTAGTACTGGGGATAGGCCCATTGTCATCACAGTGAAAGATATACCCTCGTGCATTTAATATATACTAAGGTGATATGTCAAATGGTCAAACAACAACATCATCCTAAGAAACCTCACCTCATCTAGCTGCTCTTTTGGGTCTTACAGCAGCCGACAGGGCGACTCTCCTTGCCCGGCTGGAATGATACGGGAACCTTTAAGGCTGTGCAACACTTAGTCGCAGAGCCCAAGGGTCTGCAAGACAACGAAGGGGGGATGTTTTAAGATAAATTTGAGAATCTAATAACTTCTATGAGCTGATTTGGAGGGAACTGGACGCGAGATATGGCAATAGTATGCGTTTGTAACCATAAGTTGACATTTGAAGGAGGTTGTAGGGGTTTGCCGCGTGGTGGAGGACGGATGAGAGGAAAGCTTTGATATAGACAGTTGAAACTAAGAAGAGAAGCATGTTACATAGCACAAAAAATAGGACAAGAAAAAAGTCATGGAATCAAAGGTGAATAAACTAGCAGTAAGGTAGTTTTTGTTTCTTGACTGTTGGAAAGAGCAAGAAGAAAAGACAAGACTATAAAAATAAGAATATTTAAGGAATCAATACTCTTGATAGCTGAATATTTTGATATTATTTGATGAGTTTTGAGTATTGAATGAACTTTTAAATTTAATTTATACATGGAAATTTATATTCAATATCATTTAAACAATGCATTGATCATAATTATATATATATTTTTGAATTCTTCCCAGATTTGAGTTTAGATTATAGAAGTTACTATATAATTCATAAAAAAATTTGAATTGATGAATTTGGATGTGTGATGAATCAAATACATCTATATCTACATAAACCTTTGTGATAAAATGATATATTATATATTTATAATTCCAGAATGTCTGGAGAAAATAATGAGATTGAAGAAACTTAAAATTTCCAAGATGACACATTGTTTACAGCTATGCATTCCCAACTCCACGCAACAAAACTTTATACCTGAAAATGTGTAATTTTATTATATATTTAAATGTTACAATTTCAATTAAAAAATTTGTAAGATCTATACCACATAAAAATTAAAAAATATAGGTATTGATAACCATTAACTTAATAACAACGACCTAATTAGTATCAACCAACTACAGGTAAACTCACCTCTCACTTGTTGTTTAAGCATTTCCTAAGCACACATTATGGATATGTCTACTATGTAGTGGACATTTCATGTGATATATAAAATAGAGCATTGAAAGATATGAAATCACATGTGGTATCCATCAAAAATATTAAAGTCACCTGGATAAAAGTCTGACTAATTATTGATTCTACGACAAGGTCAAGTCAAGTCAACCCAGCCCACTTCAAAATTTGTCAACACAAACTACTTTGAAAGAAAAGTACTTTGGGGTGGGCAGATCTGCCAGACCGGTTGAGTTCGCCTTTTACTCTATGTACGATAACGGCAACGTGTGGCTAAAGCCTGCTCTAATTCTTCCTTGACGATCATGCATCAGCTAAGTCTTTCCAGAAATGATTTTGCTGAAGCACTATCATGCAGATCATTTAGAGCATATACGGTCTGTGTCACTTTCTGTCCATGCTTTGCTTAGATGCTCCCGGCTTGCAATGCCGTCTTCGCAGCCAGATTGTTTGCAGGTGGATGCAAGGTCACAGGACACAGGATCATTGGGTTGACTGCAACTCTTATCTGTACTGTACTGGGGGAGCTTACTGTGAGATCTCCACCAACCACTTGAGTGTGTGAAAGAGATGAGGACTGACATGAGTAGCCGTTGACCGATGCATTGTCCATTATACTTTCCGCTTGTTCATGGAATGGATGCAGTTCGTCCAGGCCCTCTAGGACTGTAAGAAGGGATGTCAAGGTCTGAGCCCCGAGTACAGTACATCCACATTCGTTAACGAATATAACAAAAGGTTTGTAGGTCCGGTGCTCTTCAAAAAGCTAATGCGGGTCATACATTACGTGTTTGTTCGGCACACAATTGTTTTGCTATGTTGTTCTCTTGGGATTGCTTGAATACTATCCAATAGTTGGATAAAGAGTTTTGGAAATTTACGCGTCTCAGGATAGGATAGGCTGGTGGAACTTGATGGTACGACATATGTGTTACTTATTTGATGGCAGTACTGTTCCTCTATGTGAATGTACCATCAAAAAATGACGCATGCTCATGAATGTACATCATGCCTAGTACATACTGTACAAATATCTTGTCATTCTTCGTGAGGCTCTATGGCATACTATTAAGCATGTGGTGGTTGTTATTGCTTGTACTAACCCGAGTTCTCGACAGGGCACCAAATCTAGCAATGAAGATAATTATGATAAAATTTCACAAATTATTTGCA